TTTACAGTTGCTCCTACCATTGCACAGTGCAGGCCTCGAAAACGCAATGTAGGCCTCGCGCACATTCAAAGCCGTAAACATGCATTGCCCGCGAAAGCAAATAAGATCTCGCATCCCTGTCCGAGCGAGGCCCACCCGGATGCAGAACATCATCAGCGCAATAAGAGCTGCAAAGCGAGAACTTACGACCATGGAAATTTGCACCCCCCACAAAAAGAGTAGTTCATTTTGCAGAGCCTGTGCTGGCAGGGATGCAGGGTCCATCAAAACCAAAGTTTGCCAAGCTTGCAAGCGATCCGTTTTCTCACCGCAGAGATGGAACGAGCCGGCTCATGAGCACTAAAGCACGTATGAGTTTGAAGGGAACGATCCATCTAGCGTAGACACCTGAATTGTCAAAAGCGTACGCGGTCCGGATGGGGATTGAAGCTGCAACTTTAATGGGTCGCCGCTGGAAAGCCCTTGAAGAATTCAGGCACCTATGCCGCTTGCCAACGAATTGAAGGCATCTAAGGCCGTCCCACTAAGAACTAAACGGAACCGCATACTCGTCTTTGGGCAGGTGTAGTTTGCCCATATATACCCTCGAAACACAAAGATGATCACAGGGTCCATCTTTCTGGGAATCTTGCCCACAGGAGGTCGGCAGATTGCATTGGAACAGCCTACGCTCACTGGTGGAGCCTCAGAGGTCTGCATTGCTTCCAGTCGCAATCTCCTGAAATGCGGGTTTCCTAAAATTAGGGATACTTTTTGTGGGGTCCTTAGAATAAGGATTGTAATATTTTGGGGTTTATACTGGAGTCCCTTTTTATTTATGGAAACTATCACATGAGGGTGTTTGTCAGTAGTCGCACCCTGAGGGATTCAGTGGATACACACGGATTACAAGTCTTTTAGAAGATCGCACCAAGAGATGATGCTGAGATGATGTCGCGACAGGGGTTTGACAGGAAGGGTCACCTTTGCACAGATTCTTGATGAATTGTGTAGGCTTAGAAGTCAAGCTAAGGCTCGAATCCCGGCAACACAAGGAGCTACGCTTGGATGCTTTAAGCCCATATGAAGAGAAAATGTTGGGCTCTGAAACCCTGGATTTGCTGCATCTGCAGCATCGAAGTAGCACATCAAGAACTTAGAACGGACCTGTGCTGAGAGCAATTTGGATCTTGATTTGTGCGAGGAGATCTGGGATCTGCCTATCCATATGCTGTTTTGTCAGTACTCTACCAATACAAGCACCCGCCCATAAGCCTGGTGAAGCCTGGTGTTCCCATGTTGACCCAACTCAACTGAAATATATACCCTAGTATATTATATATAGTAGTTTCCATTTCGTTTTCCATTATCCCTATAGAACCCCGATACTAGAATCCCTACTATAATGCCTATATATAACCTATATACCCAGCAAGGTTCCCAGGATGAGAGGATGTGCGAAACAATCTCTGGTACTCCGTGGTCTTTCTTCACCTTGGCCATGCAAGTTGCTAGTGCTTAGGGTTAGGGCTTGGGTTTAGGATTTGGGTTTAGAGTTGAGGGGTTAGGGCTTAGGGCTGGCCAGCAATAACCCAGAAAATCTGACGAATTAACTTGGAATTGCTTCTAGTGGGTAGTTCCCAAAATGAGGGTCCCATTCTGGTACCCCTGAATATGTGGTGCAGGTGCCGTAATAGAATCTAAACCCGAAAGGGGCCAACAATTTTGAGAGCGACCCTAAACCCTAAATACAGCTATCCCTAATTCTGAGAACAACCCTATTCATTCTCAACCTTCCGGTCACCATGATTGGCACTACCAGTCATCCTGTGAGCCGGAGAACATAGGGGTAGTTCCCAAGATTAGGGTCCCATTATGGTATCCCTAAAGAGGTGCCGTAATAAAAACCGATAGCCAAAAGAGGCCCATAATTTTGAGAACAACCCAGAGATATGTGGAAGTCTCCGCAGACTAAAACCGTAAACATGGTCACATGGCGCTCTGCGGACAGGGGGCTGGGAACAAGCAAGGAAATACCCGTAGCAAACCGAAATGACTCTTGCCGACCCTGTACAAGGGGTAAGGGTCAAGCGGAGACTGCCAAACTGTGCCGACAACAGGAGTTTGCCTACCCTCCGACGTCCCGGTTCTGTGAGGCTGGTGCTAGGCTGGCTTGCTTGAGACAGGAGAAGAACTACGCCGCACAGTGTAGGAACCTTCTTATCTTCATCAAAAATACTACCCAGGAGCTCACGATTGAAAGAGTCGAGTGGCTGCGGCAAAGACTGTAGGGCCTGATCCGCGCATCTTTTTTGCATCTCCTCAGAATCAGGTGATGCCACTTGAATCCCCGCTATGGTTCAGTGCGCTGGGGCCTCCTCTCAGTCAGGCATATTTTATGTTCAACACCAAGATGTTGCATGAATCAACTGCTTACTGACAGCTCCTACTTTGGCTCCGCCTCTCCCGTCTTGTATCTACTAATTACGCGGGAATGAGAATTTGTAGCTCTTGAGGCAGACTCCCTGAAGAAGACCATGTCTCAAGAGTAAGTGGCCACAGTGCGCTTACCTATCACATCTACGCCCACAAGCAAGAGGTGTCTTGACAGCGTAGAAAACCGTATCTGTTACAAGCTAACATGCTGCTAGCACGAGTTCACAAGTTTGTCCTGCATCATCCGCTATCTGTTCTTGCCTTCCCCATCCAGACAAGAACTAGATGTCCAGTGGCCAGGCACCTCACCCCGAACTAAAGAAGGCCATAGAAAGAAAAGAAGAGGCAACACTTCCCCAACAGGTACAGACCTTAGATCTCATGCACGCGGTCTCTGGGCCCTTACAAGGCTTATACTTGCTCGCCTGGGCATGTTTTAAGGAAGCGGAGCTTCAGCAACTCTGGAATCTGCAATCTGTCCTTACCGCTAATTACATGCATCCTCTCACTTTACTTGAATACATGCTCCGGGAAGGTCATAAGGAGGCCGTTTATTCGAGCCAAGATGCGGTCCATGACGTCTAGGTCTGCACCCACCGCCTCAGACAGCAATGGTGCACGCATCTGCCAAAACCCGTGCTCGCTATTAGGGGTTCCTGAGCAATAGGGTCTAACCTTAAAAAAATCACACGCGCACCAAAATTGTCATATGCATCTTCGAGAATGCTGCCTCCACTAGAATCTAGAAGAAGAAGCGTGAAATCGTCGTCTGCAACCATGTGCAGGGTGGGGGCTTAGTTGGAGGAGTCCCTCCCAGGCCTCGGCGAGATCAATCTTGTTGATGACCAGAAGGTCTGACTGCCTTGGAGCTTGGCTTTCTGAATTTGGTGGGGGTTTGGGGTTCAGAATCTTTTGATGGCTGGGTCTTGTGGTGCGTCTTTTGCCAGGATCCTTTGAGATGAGGTGTTGTTGCTGCTGTTGCTGCTGTTGTTTGGCTTTGAGACAGACAGTAGCCATTCTGAACCCACAGCACATCACATGTAAACGGTGCTGGGCACCAGATCCTTGCAGCAGTAGACCCGGAAAATGACAAGTCCTCATGGAGTGCACCAGGAAGCCACTGGCTAATTCCCCCCTCTCGAAATAAAGCCCGTCAACTAAGCGGATGATATTCTACCATAAATTTTCTTGGCAAATCTGGATGTTCACAGACTGAGGGGCGTCTGCAGGAGCAGATTGTGCATTGTTAGCCCTGCCTGAAACCATTGGCACTGCATGTCACTCACTGTTGGCTCATGCATTAAGCCGAGGCCAAATGACAACTCTGAATCGAAAGAAATCAGCAAATCAGAATAGGTCTACCTGCGGTTATTTCGGTTCTGCCTCGTCCAAAAAGTCTGAATCTGTTCAGGCATTAGACCCTAAATGCACCCTCATCTGAAGTATTGGCCGTAGCTGCGTGATGCCTGGGCCTCCCTTCCGCGGCACCTGTCGACTGTTTCAAGCCACGTTGTGGGGGGGGGGGGGGGGNNTGTTTTTCAGCAGGTGTAGGGATTCTAGCGTGAAAACATTTCCCGCGTTTCATAACTTGATATGCTTAGTACAGCACTGTGCTTCTGCGGAGTTCTGATACATGGGGTCGTGCAGGCTTGCTTCCATCCAGGGCAGTATAAAGGTTAGAGAAAGATCTGCACGGTTCTGCAGGCAGTATGCGGAAGTCTTCCGAAGATCCCCACTACAGTCTTTAGAGCTTTTAGGACTGGTATTCAACACATGTTGTGGTCATTGAGAATCTCTGTGGGATCTCTGACAGGGTACCTCCAGTTGGGATCATTTGGGAACCTTCTGCTTCGCTCCAGACAGTCCAGCTTTCCTGCTAAGAGATCTTTTCAAACTCAGGCTCAGGCTCCCTCTGCCGCCAACAAGAAGCCATCAATGTTTGGAACGCACCGCGTGAGAACTTCGTGGGATCTTTAAGCACTACGGTCGGTATGCTGGGGTTGCAGATTAGGGCGGGGGGCTGTGACAGGTGCGGCCCTGCCAAACTACTGGTTTTCTGTATCCACACCAGTGACACACCCCTACACCCAACCAAGCGCAATCTTGGTTCCCAGCAGCATGATTTCCAAATTTGACATGTCAGGATTGACTTTTTTTGTTTTGCAGGCACAGGAGAATCTGCATGTTCTTGCGGTTGTCCTCCTTTGTAGCGGCGCACAAATGCTAAATATATGGAGCTGCGATTTGAAAATTTGCCCCTGGTCTGAAGCAACAGCCAACATTCATGGATCATTAGCAGGACCAAGAGCGCGCACAGCACACACATACGCACAGAATCGGACATGTGGATTCTTGAACTAACTGAACCCGCCCTAGAGCACCTTGTCGCCACCGGCCACATCAATGACATAGATCCTTGGAATCTTGCAACGGCAGTCCGGAAGGCTTCCTGGCTCTTTGAACCTTTTAGTGGAACATCTCCTGCCAGCTACCGGTACAGGGCCGCACAGCACACGCCATAAGTTTTCTTATGGGCGTTTCATGCAATAGATCCGAGACATGTTGTCATGTGCAGATCTCCACGTCTATCCAACACTGACAGCATAAATGGCCCAACATTTTGAATGCAGGCCTCGCTTCAACAACCGGGCAGGAATCTCCTGAAGCTTAGGTAAGAGATGTGACTCCTCGGAATGACTCCTTTCCAAGCCCTCATTAACGGCGTGGAAAACATGACCCGCTCTTCGATAGATAGCTAGAACTCCGCATGGCTGTCCGCATGGCTGACCTCTATAAGAACGCATCACTGCCCTCTTTTCCAGACCCTGCAAACTTCCAAAATCTTTCTCCAAAGCAGGGCGCGTGTAGTCAGCCAGCTCACGGGAGAAGTTGGCGGCCAGATTATCCCCGCCGCTCTCGCAGAGGAGAAGCCTGTGTCAAATGGTTGCGATTTTGACTTGAACTTTGTGGCGAATCCAAATGCTATGGCTTGGGACTCTAGAGCTGGAAGGGATGCTCTCATTGGATTATATGGGTTCCTGGGATGTGGACTGGTCCACAGGCGGGAAGGTAACACCATGATGCGCTCTCCAGTGGATGCACATCCGGAAAAACTCAGATGGCGCTCCTGAGGATCAAAATACACCAGGACACCATTTAAAAAATGCACACGCAGTGCCGACAATGAAAACAAGAAATGATGTAGATTTGACAAAGTACAGCCCCCACCCGTCTTCAAGAGTCAACGAGGGCCGGGAATCTCAAAACGCTTCAAATTCACGCCCTTGCTGCAGGGCGAGCAACTGCACATCTGCATGCTGCTCCGTCAGCGCCTCCGAAAGCAAACAGCGGGAATTGGGAGCCTTGTAGAATTGTGTGAATTGAAAAGGACGACCAAACCGAAGCAGCTTTCATGGGAAACCTCATCCAGTAAGATAGTCTAGCGCTATGCAGAGGTAGAACCCCTCCCGCGAGGAATATTGCTGCTTCAGGACTGTAACGAGGAGCCGGGTCTGTGCAAGACAGACTGTACACCGTTCAGAAAACCGACACAGCGCTAGAAAGCTGGGCCAGTGCTCTAGAAACCTCCCTCAGCGCATGATTTGGATTAAGGCTTGCGCAATCGTTCCTCGGCAGTTTCCTTGTAAACCCTGAAATCCGCACCTCGCAATGGCAAGAGCCCCCCTCACAACTGAACCTGGCAAGACCACAAACCTGCAGCCATTAACCCCGCAATTCTTAAGAACCCCTTCTCGCTAAAGATTGGATCTTTCAGCCCCATGTTGGACCGAACCTCGCGAGGCCGCTGCCCGCTGCCCACCACCACTACCACCGCCGCCGCCGCCGCCGCCGCCGCCACCACCACCACCACCACCACCACCATGCACCGCCACGACCGCCGCCGCCGCCACCGCCACCACCACCACCACCACTCCCACCACCACTCCCACGGCCACCACCACTCCCACGGCCACCACCACCGCCTTGACGCATCTACAATAATTGCCACTACCACGAATTTTGCAGCGCACTGCCCGAACTACGAACTAACAATTCTTCTTTCACGTACTTTGTTGTGTTACTGCTAGGCCATGCCGTGGCTTTGGCACCTCGCAAGCTGCAAGGTTGGAGCTCACATCTTCACGGATGGCGGCATGCGGACAGCCACCTGTACAGCACAATTGGCGTTTGAGGCTTTTTGCGAGGGGAAAAGGCTTGGTTCACAATGCGGGGAGGTTACGGCCGTCCCGAACCATCAAGCCAGAGCATGGTCAACCAAATTCAATCGCCATGCAGCTTGGTTATTTCGGACCGCAGACCTAATAGTAATAGCCTAGCCAAGCCAGTTCCGAATGAAATGTGCTGTAGGCCAACTCCAAACTCCAAACCGTTAAGTTATCTCTCAGGTTGGCCTGTCTCCACCGCCCGAATTCGCTCCGGAGGTAGCGCACCGTTGCGAGTTAAGAACTCGGCATCCTGGCGGAACCGCAGGAGACAGAAGAATTGTCTGGGGCTAAGGATAACGGTCGGCCTGGCGGGGCTGTAGGATCTAAACCTCAAAGATAAAACGCCCTGAGAAGTTTGATGATTTTAGGATTTGCGTTGGTGCCCCTGCCCCGGCCCCTGCTCCCTATGACATTTCTGCCTCTTCTCGGAGATAGGCATATAGGCACTAAAAGAAACCCGGTAAAGAGAACGCCTAAATTGGAATTGCCACTGGCGAGATTCAACACAAACACCTGGACATCCTTGCGCATCAGCTTCCACCCTGTGCTTGGGGTGTCATGCAGTGCATTGGAGCGAGATTCACCGAGCATCAATCTTTTGTGGCGAACGCAGCGCTGAGGCGGGAAGCAGGGGCTTGCCATGTAAGCATGTGCATGGAGACAGGGCTATACGGCAATCCTCACGTGTGAAGATGTCGTTGGTCACCACAGCCACAGAGTACCTGCTTTGAGCTACATGGGTTTTTATGTGGATCCGGGATGGTTTGCCACGAACTTCGGCAATGAGCTTGTGGGCATCAGGCCTCTTACAAATCTTCGCGTGCTGTTGACACCCCAAACCGGCAAAATTGACAGAAGTAAGAGTCCAAGATACTTGTCTCTCAGTGCCAAGCACAATTTCATCGTCAACGCCGTCTTCCTGAGCACGGGCTAACGGCACGGCGGTTCGCACATAGATTTCTGCAAGTTATTGGCCTTCCGTCTGTGCCGAAGCTGGCTGGGCTTTATTCATCCCAAGTTGCCCAGAACCGACAGGGCCACCAATGCCAATGGTAAAAGCTCGCTCCTGGAGCTCAGGCGAACTGGACTGTGCGATCCTAGCTGTGACTGAGAACTACCAATGCTGCTATGCACTACATCTTTCCAGAAGTCTTATGGACCCTACCCCTGCAAAGCTCCTGCCAGTCTCGCCTCGCCCAAAGCGGGTGCTCGCGCTCCTGCGGCGTGTGCTGTCATCCAAGTCGCGCTACAGAGGGAAGTTGTGGGGGTGATGTAGCCTGCGAAGCACGCTGGTCCTAGATGCAAAAATTCGGACTGGGGGGCTGCTTATTTGGGAAATGTGAGTTTACGTAGAAAAAATGATACGAAGGGGCATGTCAACTAGCGCATGCCTTGTAAGGGACTCTGTGATTTGCAGACGGCTAGCTGTCCAAGGTGAGTTAGTGAGCTGCACATCAGAACAAACCTAGGTTGCGTGGTCGCAGCTAAGTCGGGAGGATATGGAGCAGGCGATTGGTGACCGTGTTTGCCGGATGCTTGAGACGCCAAATTAATTACCAGCACCGCGGGGTTTGAGCCAAGGCCTCGATGTGTGGGAAAATGCAATGCAGGTTTTTGTACATGAGGGTTTTGGAGCGACCGTGGTCGTTTCAAGCGTGTGGTCCGCAAAGACCAACACCGCGATCTATATGGCAAGGCTTTTCAAGTCCCAGACCTGCATCATGATGTGGCAGGGCTCTGGAATCAGAGTTCCAGCCGCGTGGGGTGCTCCTTCTGCGTAGAACCCAGCACAGAAGACACCCATACTTTGGAGAGATCCAATGTTGCAGGAGAGATACGCTCTCAAACCCTCGGTAATCTTCCTCCAAACAAACCTAGAGAAGCCCTTCCACTCCCCCCGAACGGCTCCGCGAAGCGCCCTGGATGGTCCCAGTCTTCGTGGCTGTGCCCGTGGCCGTGGCCTCATAAGGTTCTGTTAAGGGGAAAGACACAGGTTCCTGATGCGCCGCAGCGGTTCGCGAGATGCAGCAGAAACATGAGGGCTCGAAGATTAGAGGACAATTCACATCAATCCGCAGATCTGAGTGGTGGAATCGGGCATTCAGTGAGAACGTAGGATGTTTAGGGGCTAAGCCATCCAGGTGTAGATTCGTCATCTTCTGGGTCCAAAGCTTCAGGCTTGGGGCCCCAATAGGGATGAAAATTGTAAGATCACCCCAAAGCTTGAAAGCCTGCTAAGCTGGTTTGGCGAATGATCTTTCAACTGTTGTAGGGTGCTTTATGGTGATTGTATGGACACTCCAGCCGAATCGTAAGTAACAACAAACAGTGTCTCCGAGAATCCTGCAAGTGCCAGGCTAAACGAAGCTGTACAAACTCCAAACACCGCAGCTACATCCTGAATCCCAGAAAGCGGAATGCAATCTCACTGCCCAAGCACTGTCTCGACATCTCAGATTCACAACCTTGATCCTGATTCAAGCCTGATGTGGTTTTCCCTATGGTTTCATTGGTTGAGCTCTGTAACCGGTTCAGAGAAGCAACCTTACCACACGTCCGGCAAAGGCTACTTAGTTCCGAGTACGCTGCAAAATTGTCAGATAGAATTGCTAGAAATGATCAGAAGATATCAGAAGCCTTAAAACTTGCCGTGTGTCCTAAAGGTCCCACTCTTGAGGAAATCCCCCGACAAAGTTCCCAATACCCAGTATGTAGGCACAACAATCCTCGCTTAACATGGACCTACTGGAAACCCCATAGTTTTCCCTTTCACCCCTCTTCCCTCCCGCTGGGCCGTGTCCGCCATGGAAGCGGCCCAGGGCCGGCGCCCAGCGCGGCGCCGAGTTCAACCGCGCCGCAGCACTTTGCGCCACGCGGAGCATGGCAGCTTCTTGCCCAAAGTCTTTAAATGATGTCAACATTGAACCCTGAACAACATGTAAACATCTACTGCGGGGCCGAAAGTGGAAAGGGTAGCAACTGTGGGCCCAAAGTATATGAACGGTAGCTCTTAGCAGCTCCCTTGGACTATTGGGAGCCCCAGGATTGTTGGAGTGCGTTGAGAAATTGACGGGCTGGCTTTGTAATTTTTCCACATGTCAGAAATCTGCGCAAAGTGAAAGAATTCACCGGCCTTCGTGAGTCATAAGTAGGGCAATGTGCTTCACATCGTCAGCATGGGCTACAACCATACCAGCAGGATTGAATCTCAATGGTTGCTACCAACGTTGCACTTCTCAGCCTGAAAGCCTCAAGCTGCCATGGAAACCAACATACTCACAACCAGCATTGTCGTGATGGCCCTCATTGTAACTTGCTGTGCCCTAGTGTACTTTTCGTTAGGATAAGATGGTCAGAACCCTGCTCATCCGGCAAGATGTCGTCGCACCATAATGGCGCCCAGACGGGTAGGAAGGTCGAAGCTGGGCAAGCAACCAGGAGCTACCCTCATCATGAAACCCGCCATGATACAATAAATTGAACTGGCTGGAAGATCACGAGAGGTCGTAATTGGGTCGCGAGTTCATTGCGGCTTCAATTTGGCACTTCTCTGGCTTGTGTGGGGGGCTCTTCGTACTTTAGCATCCCTGCGAATAGCCCAAACAAACTACCCAGGCGCTGCAGACCCCAATTAAGCCTCACATGCATTGGACAATTCATGCGAGACAAGTTGACAGAGGTAAGAGCTGGGACATGAAATTACGAGAAAAAAATAAATGGAAGGTAACCCCAATGGAAAAATGTTATCTGGTACTGTACCAAGAACATGATAGATGTTCGCCTTTGACCCCTGCTACAACCCTCAGATGCATGTTGAGGGGCGCAAATGGCAGACCTGGTAGACCCTAAGTAGATAGAATATGGGGTATATAATTGGGATCTTATTATAATATACCCAAAGCCATATTCTGTCTACTTAAGCGGGTACCCCAACCTCACGCCATCCGAGGCCAGATCCCCAACGCCCCGTAGTTGAAAGGGAAACCTGGAAGGTTGCACTGTGTTCAAGTCGGGGTTCCACTTTTGGGGGGGATCCCGGTTTCGGTGTGCTTACCGTGGAGATTATGTTGTATTTGGGTTGCATGAGGGGACCCTGGTGTCGGGCGGCATCTCTCAAGTAAAGCGTGGGGCAGATTAAGAACAAGTAAACGGGCATACTGAGCCCACTCGTCTGAGATACGAGAAATGTTGGTCAATGATGGTAAGGCAGGCCGATTACTGACAGAGAGTGATGTGGCTGGCTATACCTGATAAGGCACATAAGGTCTACCTTGAAATGTGTCAGTTTTAGTCAGGGCTGCCTGAGTGCATGAAATTCAGATTCTATACGGGTCGTAGAGAGCCAATAGGTGTTTCCTACCTGTTTGCGAACCTCCGCGTCATGTTCTTAGCCCTTAGCTAGGGCCTGTATGATCAAACGTCTGTAGAGGTTCTATGTAACAATGTAACACCTCCCCTTTGCAGGAGATCATGAATGGTCCAATGGTCCACGCTCCCAACCTTTCCGAGAACCCAAATTAATCTTGTTGTCCTCTGGCCACGCGAACCTTGCCCACCCACCCAAAACTCCCATCTCATGCAAGTTGTCTGCGCCTCCTCGTAGGAAGCCCAGAACTCTCCGAAAGCTCTGCGGAATGCTAAAATGCCTTCCATCTTCTCCCCCTTATAGTGGGTATTCGGAGGTTGCGGCCCTACTCCTCTTAACTCTTAGCCCCAATCTTCATAGCCTAAACCTTTTCAACCTTCTTCACCCTTCGACTCCCGGCCGACTTTGCAGTCCCGTTGCCTGGATGCTGCGGCCACGATGCAGCCTGCCACCTCCCAGATGGGGCGGGGGAGGTAGGGGTTGTCCGAAGTTGTGGACCCTTTCTTCACGGGTTAAAGTTACTAAATGATCCCGAGTCATGTGTCTGGCTCCAGCTCACAGCTGCGGCAGCTCATGGTTTCATGCTTCGATCAGTTGAGCAGTTCAGATGGCATCGAGTTTTGCCAGAAGTCTCTCACAATTGCCCCTATAGCACTCTTGCTAGGGATACCCATAATCCCTGTGTGACCCCTAGATGCCTCTAAGGTCCCTAAGGGCCCTCAGTTTTCTTAACCTCCCAGGTCCCGCCCCCCCCCAGCCACGCCTTGCTTGCTGGATCTGCAGTCCCTCCCAGCCTCAGCCAGAAACTTTTCACTCACAGACTCTAAAGCGTCAGCTGCGGACGCGGAGGCAAGTTGGCAACTAAGCTGCCCTCACCTGTGCCACTTCATCATCTTTAGCTTAGCACATCCCAGGTGCTGTCTACGAACACCGCGCTGTTCCATAAAGCGCTGGAACGCGAACTGAGCATTCAGGACAGGTGACTCTTGACCTGCTAAGGCTGCAAGTGCGGATTTTGTTGCAGCCTTCAGTCGCGCCATGGCCGAACAAGTTTGTTGGCTCTTTCAGTATAGGCACCTTGGGCGTGGCAGGATCTCAGGACCCCACCATCCCAGTTGTACCAGTCTCCTTCTTGCCACCTGATCTGATTCTGTGGCAATTGCAAAGAGGTGGAGTTTTGCAAGCTTACAGGCTCGAAAACGAAGCTGTATGGTGTGCGTGAAAGAATCATCGCATGCGCCCCTTAAGAAATGGTTGGTCCAGGTGATGAAGGTGGGAACCTAAAGAGTGGATTTTCAATTTAGCTTTTAGGGCAAGGGAGAGAGCCATAGTACAAGGAAAAGATGCGGGGAATACGCATTCCTGCTTTTCTCTGGGCTGTGGGCCCTGTAGAAGATTTCTCAAAAGGTGTCCTGCAGGACGAGGCGGCTCTTCGCAAATCTCGGGAATACTCCAAGTGCCACAAAGCTGAGGATGCGCTTTTGCCCCATATGTTATATATAGTGTGGCGCGGTCAACATGACGGGTCTTGATCTAGGTTGGCTCTTAACTGCCCACTCCCCGGGTCTCCAGGGCCGCAACGTGGGACAACATGTCTCTTAGGATGTCCATATATGCGGCCCTGTGCTATTTTCAGCCGCGCATACAGCAAGGAACGAGTTGATCATGTAACAAAATATCATAGAAGCTATTGCAAATGTAGCCGCAGTACATTAAAGATGCTGCCCAAGGTGGGGAAAGGCAAGAGCGGGAAGTCGAGAAACAGGAAACAGAAGCAGAAACATGAACAAGCCTGGAGGTCGTATGTACGATTCTGTACGAAGCAAAACAAGCAGCAGCAGGCCCACACAT